AGTTTCAGTGTTCTGGTGTTGATTAAGGGCTGAAGTTTTGGTAAAGACTTTGTCATATCTTTTACATCTGTAATGTTCATCTACTGTATCAGTTGTCTGGTGTTGAAAATGGATACTTGGATAGACAGCAAGTTTTGAGCACTGATCAAAGACTTCCCCACATTTCTCACATTTATAAATATTCCACAGAAAATGAACACACTGAGGTTTACTAGGATCTGGGCAATCTACAAAGTTTTCATGAATTTTATTACACTGAAAATTTTTCTGTCCAGTATAAATATCCTGGTAATTTTGTTGTCTAGAGCCTTCACTAAAGACCTTCTCTTGTTTATTATGTTTATCAAGAGTTTTCCAAATATCTATATCTGAATTTTGATTAAGCATTAACAGATGGGTAAATAAGTAAACATTCACATCAAATTATGAAACATAACTTTTCTTACAAGGAAAATTTTGAAAAGCTAAACATGTGTCTAGCCTGTGATGCATTCAATAACTTAAAAACATTCCAATTCTTCGAAGTTGGATTAAATTTTCTCGCAAACGTTTCTGTAGACAAGAGACTTAAAAAAGACAAGGAATCTTCCAGATGTGATCACTTAGAGATTTCCTTTATAAAAAGTATATTATTCTGCAGTCAACAAATAGGTCTTTCTTCTGCCATAATAAACCATTTTGACAAGTATGGGACATTATTTACCCATCCATTAATGCTTAATGTCCCCAATTCCAGAAAGCAACTAGCCTCTCTCTTGAGGACCTGTACTCTATTTCTTTGAGTGTGTACTTTAAAATTTTCTGCCCTTTCCTACCATTTTGTCTGTAATTTGCTAAGTCCCCCCTATTATTATGTTATCCTTCTTTTATTCTTTAAAATAAAAAATTAAAAAAAAAATTTTCTGCCTAATAAATACCTTTATGCGTCTTCCTGATGCATGCCAAGAATTCCATCTCTGCAATGAAAGTCAGTGAATTTGTGAACTTACTCTGCGGGTAGGGTGGGCTTAGGTTCTTTATATTTTCACTTATCTCTGGGAACCTCCTCATACCTTGTCAGTGACACTCATAGTCCATTCAACTAAGACTTAATCAACGTATTAATCCACTGACAAAGTTAGAGCCCTTGTGAGCCAATCACTTCCTGAAAGCCTCACCTCCAAATATTGCTGCATTGAGGATCAAACCTTCAAGACGCGCTTTGGGGACATTTCATATCCAAATCATAGTACTTGCAATAGCAAAATACTGGAAAGAACTTAAACACCCTTCAAAGAGTACATGCTAGCATTAAATTATGATACACCTGCATAAAGGAATTCTACTCAGCCTTAAAAGGAAAGAGGAAAACTGTATGGGATAATATGGAATAGTGTCCAAAATATATTAACTTTCAAGAAGAAAAGCAAGGGCAGAACAACATATAGAATATCCTGCACTGTGCAAAGGAGAAATAAATGAACATGTTTACAAATATATGAATCTCTCTGGAAGAAAGTCATAATAGAAATTTTCCCTACACAGAAGAACATTTAGAGCTTTATTTTTTTCATATGCAGGCTTAAATTAATTTTTAGAAGTTGACTATTTTGATTAGCTCAACTATATTCATCACAAGATTTCCTATTGTTATAGGCATCTAAGTTAGATAAAAATATTATAGGCAGTCAGATAGGGTGAAGCCCTGGGAAAGAACCAGCGCAGAAGACAAGATACCTTACAATGTGGGAAAGACAGGTACTTCTGCTGTGGGCCAGCCAAATGAACACACCCACATACTTCCTAAGGATAAACATCAGGGACTGATATTCTCACTAGGTATTGATTACCTTGAGAAAGCCAGGAAGAGCCACTAACCCAACCCTACAGGAAAAGCCCCTGTTCTGTCTTCATGCCCTCTGGCTACATGACTTGCTTCCACATTTGATCCCTATTTAATCAATTTTACCTGAGAAATTATACTCATAATCTTATTGGTTGACCACAGTTTTGTTCCACCTCATCCCCATCTTGAGATTTCCCATTTTTCCCTTGGACCTGCCTCACATAGTGAATTTGCTCTATAAAAATCCCTAGAGAAGGCAGGGTCCTTGGCAACCCACTCGGTCCCCTTCTGTCTCTCTCTTGGACAGAAGCTTTCCTTCCCCTTAATAAATATATTCTGCTCTTAACATCCATTGTTCCTAAAATTCATTCTTTGATTTCAGAGAACACAGGCCGGGCGTGGTGGCGCATGCCTGCAATCCCAGCACTTGGGAGGCTGAGGCGGGAGGATCGTTGTGAGTTCGAGACCAGCCTGGGCTACAAAGTGAGCTCAAGGCCAGCCTAAACTGTATAGCGAGACCCTGTCTCAAAAGGACAAAAAAGAAAAAAAGAATGATTTCAGAGAACACAAACTCTTATCAGACGTCTAGCAGGTTGGGAGTTTCTTTCCCCTATAGCCCTATGTTCATATTTATTTGATTTGAAAGTATCCATCAAAAATGACAGAGTCATCCTCAGCCACTGCGCTTTGATCAGTTTCTCCATGGGTGGCTCGCCTGTTGAATTTGCCTGGGAATTCTGAGGTTTGTGTTACCCAAATGCATGGTTTTATTAGCGCCCTTTTACAGAAAAGAAGCAGTGCTGCCGCTAAGCAACAACGACTCTGAAGTCTTCACATTTGCACTTTAGCTCAGGAACCTCTGACCTTCAGTCCAAGACTCAACCTCCAAGAACCCCAAAAAACGTGTCCCCAAAGCTCTGAGAAGGTTGGGGAGGAGGTGCACAGTGCCATGCCATCAGAGGGAACCCCAGGTATGAGCGCTTCCATTCAGTGCTCTGGCCATTCCCATCCAGAGGGCGACAGGGCAAGGGTCAGGGGTCATATGTGGAGGCCTTTTGGGGCTCTGGTTAGGGCAGTCCGCAAAGGAGGCTCCTCTTACCCTGGCTTCAACTTTCCCTCAGAAAGCCCCATTCCTCTGTCCTTCCCAGTCTTGCTTGCTATACTGGAAGTGCTCTGGTGCAGATGTTGGAAGATGGAATGGAGAAATCCAACCCACTTCTCTCACTGCAGCCCCCAGGCCTTTGCCCTTGCTGTTCCCTCTGCCTAGAGAGAAACCCCTAGTGCACAAGTTCACACACACAAACACCCACACCACACCTGTGCAGCGCCTAACACCCACACACAGGCCACAGTCCTCTGGCCAGAGCTAGTCTCAAACTCAGCTCTGCTTACATGTATTAGCTTCCCTTAGCCCCCTCCAGGATAAAGCTATGCCCTGTTGCAGGGACCTCCACAAGGCTGACATACCTGTAGGCGGGATGGCAGGGGCTGTCCCAGAAGTGCTCAGAGAATGAATAAACAGGGCCCCTCACCCTGAGTGCCCACATTGCCTAAGATGAGTGAGATGCCTACACCCCACCCTCTTCTTTCACGCCTCTAGCTCATCCCTGCTCCTCTTCCTCCCAGACCCAGCTCCACTCAGCCTAGTCCTTGGGCTGCCTCCCTAGACCAAGTTCTATTCCTACTGCCTTGGCGCTCTCTCTTCTGCGGTCTTGTCACTCTGCAAGGTTCTTCCTCTCAGCCTGCCGACCTCCCTCAGCAGAACAGGGATCCTCCAGGCAGACACAGGTCAGATCCTGGGGTGGAGCACTGCCTAAGCACCAGGGCCCTGGATTTGTGCATCTACCAGTTACCAGCTACATGACTGACATATTACTCGGCCTCAGGTCCTCACCTGTAACATGTGTAACATGGGATATTCTACACCAGTTTCTAGAAGAAGAGTCCAAGATGGGGGTATTTATAGACATTCTTTATTGAGGGATCTTGAAAACAGCTAAGGAAAAAGGTGGTTTTAGAAGTCTGGCTTCAGCCTGACCCTGGGAGATCTGAGTGTGGAAAACACCAGATTTGTCCTGCCAAGAGGCAGGGGAGCTGGGCTCCCACCTCCGCATCAGACCATTAGCTCAGCTGTGCCCACTGGGCGGGAGGCAGCCATACTGCCAGGCACTTCTGGGTGGGGTGAAGCCCCTCAGTCATAGACGGAGGGGGGCAGTGGTGTCTGCTATGAGGGTCCCAAGCTAGCCGCGTGGCCAGGCAGTTGTGAGATTAGAACCATTAGAAACAAAGGAGCTGAGTGAGTCACTCGCTTCTCTCCGTTTAACTCTACACAGCACCCAACGGTTATTCCTGCTTGCAGTACCCTAAGAGAGGTAGAAAATAAAATAACAAAAGCCTAGAAGATGGGCAGATGCCCTGTGTGAGAGCACAGGCACCACATGGAGCCGTGAGAGCTGCGGCGGGACGCACCAAAAGCAGAGATGTCAAGGCTTTGAATTCTAAAAGCCCAAGTTACTTGCCTTTCTTTCCTTCTTTATTCCTGCTGCTGCTGCTGTCTCTGACCAGGGTGCAGTGCTTTTCTGACTCCCTGGCACCTTTGCTGGCATGCACTGGCCCTGAGCAAAACTTCCTGTGGTCTTTAATAAACGTAGTTACTTACTACTTACTACTGGGTATACATCTGGCAATTCTTTCCTCGCTGTTCCTGGGAGCCTGGACTATTCTTGTCCCACTCAACCGTAACACATGAGGCATGTAGAATTCTTGATGTGGTATCTGGCACAGGAGAAAACGGAAGACCTGCTGGCTATTGTGACCACTAGCATCGTCAGTGTTTCCTCTGTCTCTCAGTCCCAGCCCAGCATGAGGAAGGCACGGAGGAATCAGCGAGAGGTGAGTCACTTCTGCCTCCTGTCCCTCTGGATCTCCCTTCCTCCTGCCACCTAGGCTTGGATTTGGTGGCCCAGAGCCTTAATGTCCTCACCTAGGTAAGCGGTCTTCACCCACCTCCCCTGCTCCTGGGGCTGTATGGGAGGGTCGAGCTGAGGAACCCTGTCCCTGCAGTGCTGGCAGGGGGCAATGGTGGGAAGGGAGTGGAAGCAATGCTCATCTCAGAAGAGAAAGAATATAGTTCACAGGGGTAAGGAGAAAGCCACCCCTGGTTGTACCTACAGACCTTTGGACAGAAGTATCTTGGAATGAGAAAGGAAAGTGCTGCTGAAGTTGATTTCTGTGTCAGCCAGGAGGCCAGGTAAAGGCCCTGTGGCCTTGGGGTACACTCGGGTACACTGAGGCCCTTGATCTTTGCAGAATCATCCATGCCAAGCTCTTCCAGGGTAGCACCAGAGATCCCAGGTCTGCTGCCTTCCCTCAGGCTGGTGGGTGATGCCAGGGCTTCAGAGGGTACCTGAGCCTGAAAGCAAAGGGTGAGGGAGCTGGAGGTTCCCTGGCTGTGGGAAGCTGAGGTGTGAGGAGAAGGCTTTGCAGCTACTCAGTGAAACAGAAGCAGGGCCAGAAATGGCCTTTGGGCTCTTCTGGGAAGCACCCCCTCCCTCTCTGGCAGTGCATCTTTAAGGGGTGTCTGCCCATTTCCTCCCCACCCCAGAGGCTGCAGGCTCAGGCACGAGCTGCATTTAATATGAGGCACACACACATTTCCTGGATGTGGGGTGTGTGTGTGTGTGTGACTACTTCCTTTAAAACCATTATCTCTATCGACCCTCACAAAGACAAGGCCCTGCAAGACTTAAAATGCATGATCATAGGCTTTATGGGTGAGAAAGCCTAGGCCCCCACCAGGGAAAGGACCTGCTCAGGTCACCAACTAGAGAGACCCCCAGCCAAGGAGATAATGTGTCCTTGCCTTGCACTCCTCTGGGGGTGGGATGGCAGGGTGTCCAGAGAGAATCTCTGCACTCTGCTCCAAACCCGGGCCCGCAGGCATTTGCTCCAAATCAAGGCCTCTCTCTTCTTGTCATTAGAAACCCAGAAATCTGTGTCCCAGTCCACGTCACAAGTCTTTGGTCTTCCTCTTGCTCCCTGCCCCCCAGCTACCTCGCAACTCAAAGGCTCAGACTTCCCATGAAAGCAGCCCCCGCAATTTCCAGATGCATCCTCTCACAGGACCAGGTGCCCTATTGCTGGACCTAGCCCAGCTGGCACAGCAGGTGGCCAGGGTGGCCTTGTCTCTCCTGCTCCACTCTGGCCTGCTGGGCCCAGCACCCCTAGGAAGCCAATGGTAAGGGCCGAGGATTGCAGGTTCCTGTCCAATATGACCTGGGGCCTCCTGACACTTCTCCCTGGGTCATCCAGATCAGGGGCCCCCAAACGTGTCTGCACTTTTAAATTGAAGGTGGGGGCAGTTGTTCAGAAATTCTGATGGACCACAATACAGACATATCATAGCATAGTCCCTGGGGTGGAACAGAGACATCAGCCTTTTTGGACAGTCCCCAGGTGACTGATGTGCTGACCAGTCCGAGAACCACCATGCTAGGCCATGGGTGACACCAGCTGTCCACTCCTGGTGGGGAGAGTCTGGCTCCTGGTCCCTTGCAGTGGCACCCTACTTCTCCAGTAAGCTAGAGCTTAGTGATTCCAGTCCTGAGTGGCCTCAAAGTCCCTGGGGACAGGAAAGTCACCAAGGCAGCCCTGTCTGGGTGGAGACCCTGAGGGTGTCGCTGAGGGAGGCTTCCACCTCAGCCTCTTGCCTTTCTTTGGCATCTCTGCCAGGTCCGCCCACACAGGCTGGGCTCAGCATCCCCACACAAAATCGAAACTAAAACTGCGGCTTGGAAATCCCCGCCTGAGCGCCACCTGTGGCCCCCGTCACCCTGACTGGCAGAATCTCACGCCGGCTTGGGAGTTGAGCAGGAGATAGACATAAAAGGGAAAGGCTTGGAAACTGGGCTGCTCACTCTGGGGACCACACTGACCTCTAAATCTTAAAGCATGTCTACCCTTTGACCTTGTAACTAAACCTCTTAGCAGAAAGGCACATGGAGACACACATGGCTGGTACACACAGCGCTAGAAACTAAATATATGCCTCACCCCAAATTCTTATGTTGCAGTCCTAACTCCCAGTGTGATGGTTTTATGAGGGGACCTTTGGGAGGTGATTGGGTTATAGGGTGGAGCCATGGCAAATAAGATTGGGGCCTTATCAGAACCTCAGAGTACTCTGTAGCTTTCTTTCCATCATGCGAGTACAGGGAGTCAGCGGAAGGGGACCCTTCCCAGAAACCCACTATGTGGGTCCCCTGATCTCAGCTGTCAGCCTCCAGGAGAGTGAGAAATCCACTCCTGCGAAGCATCTGCTGTCCAGCCTCTGGTGCTTTGTGGCAGCAGTCCAAACGCTCAGGCCCATGTGTCTGGGCTAAGCAAACTCCTGCAGCAGTGTTTGAACAGCACAGATGCCCAGGACAAAGCTGTTGCCACCACACTGTGGGATCAAGGGCACGAAAGGGGTGCATGGCTGTTGCTGCATCCTCTAAAGGCATCGCCAAATCAGCAAGACCCACTGTATAATGATCTGCACAGCACGATATCCCAAGTCTTATGACACACAGCAACAAAACTATATTTCTTCCCACAAATCTATATTAGTATTTTTTATAAAAAATAAAACCTTTTTTTTTTCTGGTCCTGTGGCTTGATCTCAGGGCCTTGTACATGTTAGGCAAGTGCCGTACCTCTGAGCTTACCCTCAGCCTGTGGCATGTTTTTCTAATTTAGAGATTCAGAGCATGAATTTTGCAGCCAGGCTGCCTCGGTCCGGGGCTGACCTTTCCACTATTTTCAGGCTGGGTTGCACCAGGCAGATGATGAAGCCTCCCTGGGCCTCATTTCTCAGCTATGAAGCTGGTACAATAGCAGCACCTATCTCACAGGGCCGTCTTGGGGCTTGAATGAGTTAATATGTGTAAAGCACTTAAGACAGTGCCTGTCAGTGAGCAAGCCCTGAGGAGAAGGTTCCCCTAAGTTGTGGAAGGCAAATTCCAGCCTCAGGTCCAAGGCTTTCCGCTTTTTGTAAGGTCTGAGCTGAGCACTACTTGAATGGGTTAAGGTGGATGCATTTTTTGAAAGCAGAAACAAGACAGATCAATGAGCGGGGAGCTCTGCCCTGCCAGTTAGAAGATGAACTCTGCTCCCAGGGCAGATTGTCTGAACACTTTCTCTCCCTGCCTGGCCTACAGTACCAGGCACATAAAACAGGGTCAGAGGAAAGGCCTCGAGGTTGGGGCCTTGGAGCCTCAGTCCCGAGCTCTCCAATACCTCAAGTGATTTCTTTTGTTTTGTTTTGTTTTTTGAGACAGGGTCTCGCAGTGTAGTTCAGGCTGAACTCACTGTGTAGCTCAGGCGGGCCTCAAACTCACAGCAGTCCTCCCTTCTCAGCTTCCTGAATGCTGGGATTGCAGGTGTGCAGCACCATGCTGGGTGGTACCTCAAGTGATTTGCTGGGTCGTGGTTTGTCTCCACGAATACCAAGCAAAGTGATGCTTTTAACTCACCGCACCTCACAGGGATCTGTGATGCTGATAAGGGCCCCAGGGCTCAGGAAGGCTGGGTTCAAACTCTAATTTCAACTCTTAATGCTGTGCAGCTGTGGAAAGATCTCTTCACCACCTGTGCCACAGGTTCCTCAGCAGCTAATGGGATGATGATTTCACGTCTACTTCAGTGTCACCATGAAGGCTGGAGACGTGATTTCATGCAAAATGCACAGCACAAGACAAGAACACACCCAGTCCACAGACCATGCCAGCTACTTGTCCACAGAGCTCTCCGTGCAGGCTGGGCATCTTGCTGTAAAATTCTGCCTGCACTTTAGAACAGGCCCCGACTCAGCCTTTCTGGGCAGATGTCTCCTTGGTTTTACAGATGGAGAAACAGGCTCTGAGAATCAAGAGGCAAAATTTTGATCTAAAACTTCAGTGGAAACCTGTAATCCCAGCTACTTAGGAGGCAGAGGCAGGAGGAACATGAGTTCAAGGCTAGCCTGGGCAACTTAGCCAGACTGTGTCTCAAAATAAAAATAAAGGTCGAAGGACGTAGCTCAGAGGAAGAGCACTTGCCTACTATGTGCAAGACCCAGGCTCTAGTATTATGAAACAATTAAACTATAAAAATAAACAAATATACAAGTAAGACCTAGGGTATAGCTCAGCAGCAACTTGCCTAGCATGAGCCAAGCCCCTGAATTCTATCCCCAGCACCAAAAACCCTATGTTGGTTGACTCCATGTGTTGTTGACTAACTGAGACATCATACTGCTTTCAACAGATGGTCTTCTTTCAAATCTACTGTTTCAATATATCTTTACTATTTTTCTGCTTACAGAGAGCCTACACTTACCCGGAAACTTGTAAGCATTGCAGAAATACGACATGAAACTTCCCCATAATTTTATCCTTTGGGGATGGGTGTGCAACTTCCAAGAATTATACCCATGCCTGAGGACTTTTTCTTTTTGCCGCATATGACAATGAGAACATCACTTCCGTCAAGGTTTTCTGGAAACCAACTCACTTTTAACTATATTTGCTAGTTTGATTTGTCATGAATTGAAGGTAGCCCCCAGAAGGTGTCTTAGTTACTTTTCTTGTTGCTGAGACAAAATATCCAATGTCCATAGTTAAGGGAGGAAGGGTTTATTTAGCTCACAGTTTGTGGAGGCTTCAGTCCCTAATTGGCTGCTCCATGGCAGGGTGGCACATGGCAGAGGGGCAACAGTTCATGGTGGAGGAAGACAGCAAAAGCAGCAAAGCAGTGAAGACAAGACAACTTCTGTCCCTTATATTGTCTGCAGACTACCCGCCCTAGGATGGGTGTAGCATTCACACCCTTAATCTAACCAGAACTATTCCAAACCAACCAGTGCACTGATTTACTAATCACACACCCTTAGTCCCAGTATCACACACTTCAGATCCAGCTGCCTCTGAAAAAGCCCCATGACCGCATGAGGCTTTGGGGGGACATCTAGACATAAGCCATAACACCCCAGAAACCCAAACACACACCGATGTCATCTCTGTGTGGTGTGGTACTGTGGCCTCCCAGGCTCTCTTTGGCCCCAGGCTTGGCCTGCCCTCAGGATTAGGAGAAGGCTGCACAGATGCCCTATGCTGGCCAGAGACTTTCTCTCTGACAAATCAGGAAGGATTAATGAGAACTGAAAACAGAACAACTTTCTCACTATATGATTCAATTCAATTCAAGCCCTGGGCATAACTCCTAAGATCCCCTGGACTCAGAGCAGTTAAATATACACTTAGGGAACCAGTGCCCTATTCATTTCAACGAGAAGTTGCAGAAGCCCAGAAACGCACCAGATTCTGCTCCCCCCACTCAAGAACTCGATGCATAACTCAGCCAGCCACAGTACCCCAAAGGGTGAGCGAACACTCC